GCATAATTATTACCTTTTTAGAATTTTATGGAAGAATGTGAGACAAATGTGCTTCGAGTGTCCTTTCTATTGTGTGTCGAACACATCTGTCTCATTTCCCATTTTTCGAAAACATGAATGTTTACGAACACATCGGTCACACCTCGTGAGACAAATGTGCTCCGAGACAAATGTGCTCCTACAATGCTCTGTCTAAAGTATTTAATACAATAAATTGCAAGATTATGTAGAGTCTTTTTACATTTTGAATTTAGCAGTTCTATAAATTTAAACATACTTGGACGTGTATAGTAGAATCTAGGAATATATTTTCTCCTGTTTTCATGATAAAACGGGCAAACTAAAACAAAGTTGAATTCGTCCTCGATATCATTGAATTGCAAATTACACAATAACGACGATTTCTTTCAATATTGTTATGTCGACCAGTTTCAATATGCAGGTTGTGTGAATTTAATCTTAATCTAGCAATAGCATAATATCAACAATAGCGAGGTATTCAGAACGATTAAAAATAGACTTACTATGTCTATACAAAAATAACGAACTGCATGTCTGAACACTAGCATGCCAATTAGTCGTATAAATATCCCTAAGGCGATTGATAAACACTGGTATAAATACATCTATATTAACTGACTCTGGAAATTCCCAGACATCACAAAATCCGGCATTTTGTAATAAAACACGTATTTTCGACGACCAATTAACACTAGCAGCATTATGAAAAATGCCTAGTCTTTGGTCTTTAACAATAGTTCTGATTATACAGTTTTCCATTTTTCGACCATGCAATTTTAAAAATTATTTAACAATTCGAACATATCTATTAATGTACAATGGGAATCTGCCCAGTTCTGCATACAGAGATAATGTATTTGTTGTTCGTTTTACATTAAGCAACCATTTACAAAAATTTTTATGAACCCGCTCTAAATTCTCAGCCTTTAAAAAGCCCCATACTTCGCAGCCATTATTCATTACTGACAATACGTAAGCATCAAACAAATTAAACATTATATTTACAGGTACATTTATACCATGTGTAATATTAAAAAGTGAATTCATTGCCTTTATTCTTTCCCAGCGAAAGTTTTTGTTGCATTGTTAAACGAACCCCACAAGAAAAAACAACCCCTAAATAAATAAATGAACTAACAATTTCTATTTCTTTTCTAGCAAATGTCCATTTACAAGAATCACTTATTCTACCACCCTTTCTAACAATTTTAGTTGTTTCAATATTGACATTAAGATTCCATTTTTTATAATAAGTTTCTAATTTTTTAAGTGAATCTTGTAAACCTTCTTTTGTTTCAGAAAACAATACAGCATCGTCTGCAAACAGTAATAAATGTATAGATAATTGGTCCAATCTATTATTCAAAATAGCAGTAAATAGCTTCGCAAAACAACTGATAAGGGTAATACCTCTGTAATTATTTAGGTCACTTGAGTCACCTTTCATATATAGTCACTGTGGTATTATAACCCCCTTTGACCAACTAGGAGGAAATTTACATTGCTTTAAGATATAATTAAATAACAACTGAATAGGACGTACTAATACATCAATACTAACTTAAAAATACTCATATAGTATATTGTATAGAACAGGCTTTATTAGAAGACAATGCTTTGTTAGCAGATGTAATTTCATTTATTGTAATTCATTTTATGACTTAAATTCTATTAAACTCATTTTTTTTTCTACAGCAATATATTTTTTTTTTTTGACTAGTAAACTAATTGTCTCGTCTCATTACATTTGATCATATTATAATTAAAAACATCTCTTTTATATAATTCAAATTTACGCCTACATTCATCATTATACCACTTTTGCCTATTGCCATCAACATGATTAAATGCAACATATTTTCGCTCGCCATCCCGGCTCGTGAAAATATGTGGCATTTATCATGTTACGTGAAAATATATTCCATATTTCACTCAAACAAAAAAAATATCGTCTTAATATGTTGAACGAAATTTAGACGCCGACAGAATCACCGAGTAGTTTTAAAACAAGTCATGTGACTTGAACACACTCTGGAAAGTACAATAACAGATACTTTGGATATTGTATGATTGAAACAAGTCTAAGGCATTCATTAGACATATTCATTAACGTTTCCAGAGTTCACTGTGACAACTATTGTAAAATCTTGACGCTCTAACCTGACCCACGTGGTTCAAGTTCGGAAACAACCATTTTATTCCTTACATAAAAGTTTTTTCCCTGTGACTTCCTAGTGTATTTATTTTGAGAACATTTACAGAAAAATAAATGGAAAACAAAAAACGAAGAAATTAAAATTTTGCCTGTGTCTCCTTTTAAACTGGCGATACAGAAATATAATACAACTGGTTTATAGCAAAATGGTTGGGAAGATTTGTCCATATCGCCGTAAGAGATGCCGGGACATCAGTGGCAAGTTTTTATTTATCTATTTATTTATTTATTTATTTATTTATTTATTTATTTATTTATTTATTTATCGATAAGTTTAGTTTTATTAATTGTTTTCTTTTTTTATTACTGGTATTTATAATTACATGAACTATTGTTGCTTGTTAGTGGTACATGTACTATTTTTGCTTGTAACTGTGTACAAGAACTATTTTGCTCGAAACTGTGTACATGAACTATTTTCGCTTTTAACTGTGTACATGAACTTTTTTTGCTTGTAATTGTGTTCATATACATGTACAATTTTTGATTGTAGATGTGTACGTGCACCATTTTCGCTCGTAACTGTATACATGTACTATTTTCGTTTGTAACTGTGTACATGCACTATTTTCGTTTGTAACTGTGTACATGCACTATTTTGGCTTGTAACTTTGTACACATACTATTTTCGCTTGTAACTGTGTACATGCACTATTTTCGCTTGTAACTGTAAACATGCATTATTTTTTCTTGTAACTGTGTACATGTACTATTTTCGCTTGTAACTGTGTACATGCACTATTTTCGCTTGTAACTATGTACCTGCTCTATTTTCGCTTGTAACTGTTTACATGCACTATTTTCGCTTGTAACTGTGTACATGTACTGTTTTGCTTGTAACTGTGTATATGCACTATTTCCGCTTGTAACTGTGTACAAGTACTTTTACCATTTCTAACTGTGTATGTGAACTATTTCCGTGTGTAATTGTGTATACGTACTATTTCCGTGAGTAATTGTGTATACGTACTATTTCCGTGTGTAATTGTGTATGCGTACTATTTCCGTGTGTAATTGTGTATACGTACTATTTCCGTGTGTAATTGTGATTATTCCATTCATGCAGATTTTGATTATATTATTTCAGTATTTCCTTTTTAAAATACTGTTTATGTTACCGGTGTATTTTGTGATTTATATCTCTTCATTTTGTCATCATTCTTTATTAAAAACTCATGATTTTCACAAAAGACCCATGCTTGTAACACGTATAATCATACGAGTGTTGGTAATATCAGATGCGTTTTATTATTTTTTTAATGGTAACATGAATTTTTAATTTAAGTTACAAGTGTGGTATAGTCTTAAATTATACTCAATATTTACATTATTGCTTCATTAGTTTTCTATTTTTCTCCTCCATATTTATCATTATAATTTTGTATGTTTTTGTCATGTGCTCTTTTATTTCCTCATTTTTAACCGAATTGTCTTTGTAGTTATCATTATTATAATAATGTTCTTTTATATCCTTATTATTAACATAATTTTCTTATAAGTTGTTATTCAGAAAAATCCGTAAAATAGTGGTGCTTGAAAATTTTATCTTACATAGGCTTATTTTACACTACACGTGCATCACTTCTTTCGGTATTCCTACACACACCTCTTTTAACAACAATAAAATTTCATAAGTGCCAAATATATCAAAATATGAAGGCGTGTCTGTTAGGTAATCAACGCAGTTGAAAAACTATTCCCGATGTAACCGATGACCCTCGTGTTTGGATTGCCCTAACCTCTATCTAACAAAGGACTCTATTTAAATCATATGTTCGTTTATTTTCCTCTAAATATACATCATTATCACATTTATTATTTTAAGCCAAATTCATTGTAAACTTCTAACCGTAAAATGAACGTTGTGATGTTAATGATAATGAAGAGGATAACGAAAACGATGATAATGACGATGGCATATTACAAAAGTACTAACAAAATTCATAAATATAAGTTTATAGATAAATTCTCATATTGCTTGTAGGAATTTACAATGTTCAATTTTATTTTACAAATGATCATTAAATGTTTGAAAAAGAAGGTTAAAATTATAATACTTTTTTTTCAATTTAGGTATAGAATTTCCGATTTGGGCGGTTTTTATATTTAGATCCCTGTCATATTGAGATACAATAATTTGGTATATCTATACACTTGACATTGTCTAGTCAGTTATATAAATATATGTAATACTTTGTATGACTTTTGAAAAGAAATTGTTGATCAATGACTTAATGGTTTACCATATTTATAGCGGGTAAAAAAGTCCGCAAAGGTTATGCAAACTATTTTGATTCTTTTAACTAAAAGAGGTCATATTTTGCGGTTTAACCGAAACATCGTCATCATTTCGAAATGTAGCCTTGTAATTAGTTAGATTTCGAAATATACTACATAGTGTGTACACGTGTCTCATAATATCTAAAAAGCTTTTATAGCAGCATGCCTCCAAATTTATGCTTAATTTCATGTAAAACTTAACATGTATTTAATAGTAATAATTCGCATAATGTAAACGGCACTTATAAACAACGTAAATTACCAAATGAGGTCAAAATATGCACAAAAAACACTCACTTTGCAGCTTCAATGTGGAAACTTGATTAATATTTCAAAAGCTTTTCTCATATTGAATAACAGATATTTTTATTGGTAATATATTGTATAGGGCCTTCATGTTAAGCAAGACGATGTATATACATTTAGACCAGGTTTTATAAAGTACACACCAAAGTGTAAGTAAAAAGGCATTTTTATTTTGCAGGACATGCTCATCATTTCGGAACACACGATGACATTATGATGTGTCAAGAACAATTACCGTTTGAAGAATAGAATGGCAGAAAGAAATCGCTCAGAGGGGACATTTTTAAAAAGTATTAGGGGAGTCTTCAAGAGCAGTACAAAATCAGATGTTTGGAACTATGACAAAACTATCTTGACAAATAACGAAAATACCTTTGACATCTCGAACCATGACTCTGCTAGTTTGTTGAATTCAGAATGTCTTCGGACAAAAGAGGGATCGGGTAGAACTCCATTCACTGTAGAAAATGGAAAAACATACAACCAACAAGATAAAAGGTATGATGCTGTTGATAACTCAAGAAATGGAGCTTCAAAATATTACCACAATTACTCTGGAAAGCCTGCTTCAGAATCAAAAGAAATTGGTTTATCAGCGACACTACCAGAAAACGATGACCATAAGAATAAATCATGGCCGAAAAAAATAAGACAAGGGATAAAAATGAACTTGAAGAGAACCAAAAGTCTGAGTACAATAACAGAAGATAGGATGGAAAACAACGTTAATGAAGACGAACATCCATTCGCAAACGATGAAACTAGTGATTATGAAACGCTGCCTAAATCGATGTACGACTATGATGACGAAGGCCAAGATATGAGTGACGAACAATGTCATGGTGAATTACTACAACATTTCTCGATGAGTGGTAAGCAAACATATTTCATTTCCTATTTAAAAATAACAATTATTTCAGATTTAGCAAAGACACAAACTAATTTTATGTCATAACAAAATACAACAAGAAAACAGATGGAAATGAAGAGCATTTGTACTCTGTATTTACAAGGAATCCAGTACAATAAACTGTATGATATAAAATGTATATATACACCACTTTCCTAGCAAATATACTTGAAATCATGCATATTACAAATGTGGAATTTGTCATAGGTTACGGTTCAATGATGTTATTGAACTTTGTTGCCACTTGCAGTGAATCTATGAAAAAAAGTTTTAAAAGTGTTGCAGAAGTTTCTTTCGGTGTATAGTAACTTGGCACATTATTTTTTCAGTGCCAGATCTTCGCTCGAAAGGAAGAAATGAAGAAGAGTTAGCAGATTTAAGACCTCTCCATTATTACCTTGTTAACAATTCAAATAATGTTCAGATAACAGGAGGTATGTTTCACACCTAACCATATACTTTGACAACTTTATACAAACAAATGCTTATAAAATTGAATGCATTATATTCGATATAAAATAAGAGCTATTTTATATACATTTTGAAATATAAGATTTTGTAAAAACAAATATTTATCTTTTATACCTGATGTAGATCATTAAAATGGTTACTGGTTTAACGACAATTTTAGGCCAATGTCATGATCTCAGTAACTATAAAAAGTTTTTCTTCTTTTATAGAAAATGGTGAATCAATACTAAACAAGGTAGCAACAATCTCCAACAATGTTACAAGTAAGTGTCTTCTTTGAATGTTACGCCTTCTATAACTAACCTGAGATATATTCAAGTGTCTACTAAGACCATACGTTAATATAATTTTTTGAAACGCGGTATAGGTATATGCATAAGAAACAAATACAAATATTAAAACAAAATATTGTTATGTTTGAAAGACCGTATTTATTTTTTCTGTTCTTTCAGTGCGCCACTTGAATATTTTAAATGGTGTAAGAGGAACAAAAGAACAAGTAGAAACGGAGCTTTTTAGGGGCGGCCAAAAAGTTTTAAACCGAGAGGGTTACCATCCATTAGTTATTTTCAAGGGAACAGGGTATGGGTGCTCATTCAGTGCCAAAATGCTTTTTGAAAGAGTTGTTTCTGCAACAGAAAACGAAGCAAAGCCATTTTACCTGAAGGATCCGACTGAAATGAGTCATATATCTCAAGATGAAAATGCAATCATATTGGTGACCGATATAAACGGCCCGACTGGAGATGATGTTGGGCGATTAAACGATTGGTTTGAATGGCTTAAAGAATACATGCCAATTGGAACAAGTCTAAGAGGAAAGCTCACTGTCATAATGAACCTAAAAGATAGTGAATCAACAGGAAAGAGAAAACATCCAATCTATGAAAGATATTGCAATTATATTGTTGATGCAGCGAAAAAGGAATTCCGCCCTACAGGAGCAACAAAAACCAAGCTGTTGATGGCATTTATGAAACAGAAGAATATCGTTACCCGTAGAGTAAAAGGTGGTCCTGAAAATAAGTCCGGCAAGGTTAATGAGGCATCTTATATCGACAAAGAAATAGTTGATGGTATCATCCCTTTGTTAGGAAGTGTAAGATGTGTAGGTAAATTAGCAGAGTTGTTTCGATCAGACTTTGCAAAAGGCCTAAATATTCTGACAGAACCGATACCAGAGATAGTGCAACGAATTCGGGAGTCATACAAAGAAGGGGGTTCCTTGTTCTTAACACTTCTTGCAGTACTTTCGCACGGGGGACAACTCGGAATTGGAGAAGTAAACCAAATGAGGAAGTTAAATGAGCAGTGTGAGAAATTTTGGTATTCGGCGGATAATATAGATACGCAGTCTAAAAGCAAACCAAAGAATATGAAAAAATGGTTTAACAGTAAATGTTTGCAACATTTGTACCAGTATGCACAAGACAACAACCATCTTCTTGACCTTGGTAACAATTTACAAAGGTATGCACGTCATCTTGATGGCGAGTTTCTGTCAGAATACAATCAAGTCTTTAGATTTTGTGATGGACGAGTACATTACTCATTCCTTTTGGTATATTGTGAAATGTTCCCTGACGCAATAGAACATTGCGACGAATATTTCTTCTACAATTTTGTACACTCCATCCGAAATGTTCAAGATTTCGAAAGCGACACAGTACTAAAAGTAGATGATAGAAAACTAGACATAAGAACAAAAGCGGTGATGAAACGGTTCGAGAAAGAAATTATGTTAAGACACGTCGCAAAATGCATGAAACACCCACTAATGAGCACAAGCTTCTTTCAATTGTTTATGAAGTTTCTGAGCGAAACAAAACATCTACTTTGGAAAGTTCTTACCCGACAAGATTGTGATCTTACTGAACCATACTCATGTCTTTATCATGGAATGGGCAAGGAACTGGACACTTTCAAAGGTGTACCAAGAAACATCACGGAAGTCATTGTTCTTCATGATATTTGGAAGAAAAAACGTAACAAAAAGACATGGAAAAAGTGGACACATACACAAGAGACTGAGACTCTTATTCATGCAGCAGAAATGTCTAATTGCCAGACATTCAAGCTCATGGTTGAAAAAGGTGCTCAAATTCAGAAGGCAGCGTTACTGAAAGCAATTGACGTCGGTGCTGATAAGGTCATCGAATTCATACAATTGAACAGTAGTTTTAGCACAACAGAAGCTTTTGAAATTGCTCAGTATGCTGCCACAATACTAAGCAAAGAACCAGAATCTGATGCATTGGTTCAGGTTTTACGCAGGTTAATCTCGGCTGTCGATGTAAATAAAAGTGCTTGTGAAGATGTACCACCATTGATTCATCATGCAGTGCAAACAAATAATACATCTTTGCTTCAAAAACTGTTTGATGGAAGCTTGGGAAATTTTCGTGTAAACATAAATAAAACATTCAAAGGCGAAACACCACTTGCAATGTCAACGCAACTTGGGTTGCAAACAGTTACACGCATTCTTCTTGATAACGGTGCCAAACCAAACACCAATAATGCTTTCATGGCTGTAACTAGTGGACAAAATGAGATCCTAGACTTATTCGTTAATAAGTCACCCCAGATCTTACATGCCACCAACAAGCAGAAACAAACGTTACTACACATTGCTGCTGAAATGGGTCATTCTACGGTTATACGACAACTTATTAATCGTAACGTACAAGTTGAGGCAAAAGATATTAACAACGAAACTGCACTAAGTCTGGCTTGCAACGGTAGACATATGCATGCTTTAAGGATAATTTTGCATGCCTGGAACCAAAGAGGACTCCAAAAAGATGAAAAGGTTGTGATGCGTGCAGTGCAAAATAATGACATTGATCTACTTGAGTTATTGATGGAATACAATTTCGGCGTCGATTTTGTTAATCGGGAATTCGGTGTACCGCTGCATGTGGCCATACAATATGGCTTACGCGAGATGCTTCAGTTTCTCCTTTCTAAAGGAGCCAATCCAAATATAAAACAAGATGGACACTGTCCTGTCCATGTAGCAGCAGCCAAAGATGACATTAAATCTCTGTTTATATTGAAAGAATACGGAGCCGATATGTTTGCGCTCACTGATTCAAAGGACAGTATCATTCATCTTGCAGCGGATAAAAACCATGTGCATTTCACAGAGTTCGTCTTACCATTGCCTGAATGCTCATCTTTAATAAATCTAAAGAATAACAATTTTGAAACTGCATTACATATTGCTTGCAAACATGGAAGTGTCGAGCTTACCAAATTGTTACTCAAATTTGGTTTCAACCCAAAATTGCCGAACAGAAGTGGTTATATTCCAGAATGTTTGGCGGAGCAACGATTCCAAAAGTTGCATCTGAGTACAACGGTTCAGAAGTGGGCACCATATGCTGATTGTGTGAAGACACTCCAATCTTGGCACATCTAAAAGGCGAAACATTGTTCATGTTCTCATTACATATATAAATACAAACTAAAGGACTTTTAACACATATCGCAAACCAGATCACTGCAGCCATTATCAGTTTGTTGTTGTTGTTGTTGTTGTTGTTGTTCCTGCTTATCAGACAAATATCTTGCAACAAATATATCACAGACTAGTGAAATGTATACCTGCTTTTAAACAAAGCGAAAGATATGAACATGATATTTACAGAATAATGCACAAATATGGTTTGGAAAAAATACTCATTTCCGATATATAATCGGCAATATTCCCATCCAAAATTTTTACAAATTTACACTGCAAATGTTATTGCTTATGAAGCAAGTACAAAGCATGTTGACATGTTAGTTTCACTCAGCACAGTACAATCATGCATTGTAACAAGATCAGTTTAAAGGTTGGATATGTATTTTATTTCTTAATAGATACAATCGGGATTTTTCTATCTCCACCTTTTGATATGAAAGGCAATAATTGTAAATAACTTTGTGATTTCCTTATCATTTATCTTGTGTGCTTCTTTTTGACAAAAAAAAAACAGTTTGTTGGAACTCAATTATAGATGTTTGTCGAATAGAAAGAAATCAAAGCATACTTGCATTGCGACATATTGACAAGTTTTGGCGTATTTTTCGGCTTGTCATAGACAATCATTATCAGATGATGCTAAATGATTCAGAGTGATAAACTGATAGACTGAAATATAACTCAAACTATAGATCATATATTATATTATCTCATTGGAAATTAAAACACATACATACCGGTATGACAATAAGTTTAACTCTCAAGTCCTAATTACTCAATATGGTGTTAAGACCTGTGTACATAAAGTATATATTCATAGATGTTTCTTAATCTGTTTTGTTTTATAAGATGTGCATCTCTCTACAAGTATGTATTTGTTTACATGTACATATATGAATTTTGATTTTTCGATTTCAAGTAAAGGTTTCTGTATTTACGTGATTGTGATATAGCTTTATAGATATGATTTCGTATCTTTGTTAAGGTAAATGAATAGATTTGATAAATAAACAACTTGAAATGTATTTAATAACTGACTTGTAACACACTTGATATTTTGACTTCGCGTTTCAGGTGATAAATAGTGTTATATAATTTCATAATGCCTGGTACTTGTGATCACATGTTTTGAATACATTTATCAATGTGTGCAAATAAGTGAATATGAATCTATTTGGCGATAATCACGTGACTAAATGCATTGAAAGCAATGAAAATAAACAATCTTAACGAAATGATCACAAAACGACGTTATATTACACGTAACTATGTTATATAAAATATCACGTTATGGTTATGTTAGATGGAGAACAAGCGACGTCATGTGATAATATAAGATACTCAAATACTAGTATTGGTTGGTAATCCTTTATTTGTTTTAAATGTGTTGTTTTCAAACGATGCTTTGTATAAAATTTCAGTGATTTTCGTTTTTATTACCATTACATTGTTACATTATATATTGTAATTATATAACGATACATTCAGATACTTGTTGAACTTATTGGTAATGCAGTTTTTATAATTTGGCTTTTAGGAAAAAATTTACATACATGTTAAAGCGAACATAAGCACGTTATTTTGCCTAGTCATTCCTGGGTAATACCCTTTTTAGTTTATCAAATCATTCCATTAGTGATTTTGTAAAGGCTATGTAGATTTTCAGTACTGAATAAACCTCAACTAATTCAACTTGCATGGTATTCAGATCTATTTATAACAAGCAGATTTTTTTTAATTCATACCCATACTTATATCCATTATTGTTTTTCATCATTTTTTATTTCTATCTGATGGTTTTACGGTTTATCTTGTGCTGCTATATGTAACTAGAGGTAATAAAGTGTTGTTCTGTTCTGTTATGACAATTTGCTCATGTTACATTTGATTACGCAACTTATTCAGATAAATCATTTATATACTCTTGGATTTCGTTTCGATAAGAGATTTTTAATGTACATTTTCGTGAATATAAAAATTTCTTTATATATATAGGAACCCACATATATACTTTAATTAAATGAGTTCAGGAATGTGTTATAGAGCGAACCTCTCAAAACATTTTCTTGGACGAGTTAATTAAAGTTTAATCTTGTATTACAACAAAGGTGGGACACACTTTATCACATGTCTAATCGTATTGAAAGTCAAAAAAATATTCTTGTTTTTGGAAACAGGCGACGGCAAATGAAGACATAACATACTCATATATTGTTAAACTTTTATTTTGTTTTAAATGTGTTGTTTAATCATTCATGTACATTGTTTTTGTATTATGATATAGACGGATATTTGTTAAAAAAGCATTATCACCGTTTGTTGTTGTTGTTGTTGTTTTGTTATTGTTTTCGGCCCATACTCCATTATAAAAATTGGCGTCCGTAATCTAATGTTAAAGTCGTTGACGTCAAACAACTTGCCCCACATTCCTGTGGGTATAAAACCGCCACATACTTTGGATTATTTCATGTGAGGCAGTTATCGAATTATGTATTGGTACGTTGATGGTTCTAATCAGACGCCGGTTCGGGCAAGAAATAATACACCAGTAAACGCTGTAAAGCCGCCATATGACCTGCGTAGTGTTGGTGCAACATAAAACCCGAGTCGTTCCTGTGCTAAGTCGACTTATTTTCATTCGCATTGATAAGTTGTTTTTGCATGTCTCAATAAAATTTACTGACAAAGATGAGAAGTTTTTAGGCATTGCAACTGATTTTTCCTCGATATGCTTGAAGCTTTTGTCTCTCCGACAAAAATCCTGTCGAAACTTTGTGATTTCACGGCTTTGTTGAAATATTTAGTAGACGCAATGACGTTACTCGCATTGACAAATATTCTCAGGTAATTCAACAAAAGTTTTTTGGCAATGATTAACGTATTAATACGTTTAATACTACGTATTAATTATAACGTTTTCATGGAATGTTTTACGTATAACGTATTAATTATAACGTCTTCATGGAATGTTTTTGGTCAAAACGAGAAGAAACAAGTTGACGTGACTTGAAACTTTTACATAAGTGGAGGCCCTGATACGCTTCCGTATCACCGGATACATTTCAATTTAAATGTTCTTTTTTCTATATGCTCTAATTTTTATTGATGATTATGGATTTTTAGTATCGGTCTCTATCTGTGTATTACCTTAATTGTCTGTTTTTTCACTTACTGTTTTGAATAAGTAAACTTCCTTGGCAAAATCAAGCATAATTAAACGATTTTCAATTATTTAGTAAATCATTGAATGTACAATACTTCACGCGACCGGCCAATCGATAATATAAAACGGTATGCAACTGAGTGATAAACACAAGTATTAAGCCACCCTTCTTTCTTCGTGTTGATATGATCGCCAACGGTAAAATAAGACGAACATATAGTAAATGAGATATCTTATTCTATATCATTTAATCTTGTGACGTTGCTTTTATTTGTAAATGGTATTTTACGACTCAATGGGCACTTGTTGGATTATAATACTCTTAATACTTGAATGGAATGAACATTTGATTTTATCTTTTTTACACACGCAATCTTTACATTGAGGTATTGGGATACGATTATAAATTTATCTGTTTAAATAAACTTTCTCAAGTACTTATGTTAAACAAAACACATTTCCTGTAGTATTTTCAGCTGAACGCATTTCAATAAATGTCCTATAAAGAACTCTTCCTCGTTTTATGATGAAGTAATTTTCATTACCTTGACGGTAAATAATGGGAACCCTTTATTAAGTACATGTTTGTCAGATCACAACAAATTCAGCAAACATGTATTGGAGCGTTTAACGGCATTATATGCAACAAAGGGGAAATAAACCTTGTCAACTTAAACTTGACAGATATGGCAATTATAATATAAGTTGGTATATCTAATAAAATTAATGTAGCTGTAAAAGAGTCAGATTTTATTCAGAAATGTATTCAAACGTGTAAAATGACCTTGGCTTTCTATTACAGACATAAATGAGCGGCCATTTATGTACAATTGTTCCTGTATTGTGTACATGGCCCATTATTAATCAATTTGTGTCCCACTAACTATTAGCGGCATGAACCCGAAATGCGGTAATCTCAGTTTTCTAACCGGTTTAAACTTAATTGATCATTTTTTTGTACAAATGTACACAGGCCCTTGAATCCTAAACAAATCTTACAAAATTTAAACACAAAGATATGCCTCATCTTTTAGTTATCCGAGGGCCAAATACGTCATAGACAACAGCGTTTAAATAAAAATACTAAACGTTCCACTAATAAATGTACTAGTAATTAATACGCGTTATTGACCACTTACTCTGTTTTAAAGATAATGTGCAGTTTGTAACATGCAGATGTTTTCACCGGCCGTATAAGCACACCTAAGGCCCGTATGAATGCTTTGATATTTGGTGTATGTATACTTTCTTGAAAAATTGTTTCTTATTTTACTTCAAATTGATGGAGATACACTTTTGCAAAATTGTTTTAAGATCGGGTGATATAGTTTTGTTTTACAGCCATTGTTCATGACCTTGTGGGACAGCCCTAGTACATAACGTATGTTTCTACGATTCTGCATAATAAAAGTAAATGTTTATCAACTTTATTTGCAACATATGTCATATGAAATGTAGCCATCAACATATATCATCAAAATATTATTTCCTTGTTTATTTTGATTGACCACTATTGTCTTAAATAAACGATCACAAATCATCCATTTATTGATGTCTTATAATACAATGCAATAGTGAATTTACAACTACATGTATGTACATAAACCATTTAAAAATATTACAGACTGCAATAGATACTATGCATGTATATACATTAATGTATGTACCATATTTGATAGTCATTCGTACTGAATTCACACTTGAGTCGTTACCATCAAGTGTGTTTTTACCATATACAGTAAGTGAGTAAATTGTTTATTTCAAGTAACATGTGTTAAAAGTAATATCAACATATACAATTATCTAAAAAAAAAAAGCACATAAACATCTGGTTTCGCTGGCAAATATAATTGTTAAATATTATGTACTATATATACAAAGTTTTACAATTTTTATTGAATACAATATAAATATCATTACAATTTCAAATATATTGACAATTTCTGAATACTAACAATTTTTATGTTTTCACTCAGCCAGATAGAATTAGATACTCAATATAACAAAATAATGATAATTATACTTTGAAAAGTAAACAAATGGTAATAAGTGATAATTAAGCTATGCATGTGCCTTAAAGCTATAACAATGTATTTTGTTTTATTTCGCAAACCTTCATCAAGTTTATACGCTTCATTTCATTGCTGCCAAATGAATCTTATCACTTGCTGACATATTTCAAACATTCTTCATACTGTCTATAAGACAAACACATATCAATATTGTTTCAAACGTGTGGCACTAAGTTCGCTTAATGTTATGTGAAATACAGAATAATTTAAAAGGGATAACTAGTTATTGTTAAATATATGTGTAAAATCACAAGTTGATATGATTTTTATATGTTGATGCAATGATAAATACAAATATTATAAATGTATCTGGTTATCATTATCAAAGTCAAAACGATACAATGGAAAAAAACACTACAAATGTAAAAAGGGAGATTTATCTCTTCACATCATGATTATTAATTTGTAAGTTATCCCCCATTTGTTTCATATCCTATTTTCTAACGCAATCATTTAGCAAAATGCCACTTTTAATGTTTTTTCCGTGAGTTTTTAATTGGTCTAGAAATTACGTGTCGAATCTTCTACGCTCCACACTTGTCAGTTTGCTCCAACAGAATCTTGCAAACACGTAAATGTCTTTATAAATATATGTCTAATGACAGATTAAAACATTGAATGTACACTGTATTACATTTTAGATACGAAAGAAACGCTGTTAATTTTTATTCTTTTCTATAATTCTGTTGTCAAAAGTTATAAATTACGAATAAAACGTTGTAGTTACCATTTGCAAAACGTCTTCAGATAAAGTTAGTGCTAAAATGCATAATTTTATTAGCTCATCAAAACAATATGTCTTCAATTTCTGGTAACTCATGTTCATACTTTCGCCACTTTTATTCAGATGTCTGTTTCTTTTTGTAATTCATGATTGTGTTAATTATAATATTTAAAATAAGTAATAAAATCATTCATTGTTGCTCCTTGGCAAAAGTGGTAAAGCAATTTGATGTTTCAGAACAAATATAACCATAGCTTAAACTGTCAACGGGGATAGTTTTCCAATAGCTTTCGGCATTCCTGAACTAATTTAATTTTACATGTGTCTGTACAAAAATTAGAGACTTTGAGCTCCTGCTCGACAATGTCATGCGGAAGACAATTGTTTTGGTTTTTAATGTTTGATTTAAATCCAAGTTCTAGTAAACGTCGTAGAAGTGAATGGTGTCCAATTCTGCTAGCAACATGCAAGGCCGTATTTCCAAAGGCATTTACATTGTCTATCAGATCATCACTTTCAGGCAGTCTGAAAACAGACTCTATAAAGTCTTCATATCCTCTTTCTACTCCGATGTGAATGATGCTGTCACCTGTTTTAACAGTTTTAGCTGTCATGTCTGCACCAAATTCTATCAATATTTTCAGCATATCAAAATCGCCATTTATTGCTGCAAAATGTATAGGTCTCTGTCCATCGATCTCTTTATTCGGAGATCCTCCATTTGATAATATGTGTTGTACCATGTTGTGCATGCCTGTTTCGACTGATTCCCTGATGACAATATCATATGTAGATCTGCTCCAGTTAATAGGAGAACAAAACCTTTGCATTACCTCAAACGTATCTGTGTCACCCATCCTTAGAGCAAGAAGTATTACATCCTCATCAACAGGTAAACCATTGGAATTACAAAATGTTAGGATCCAACAAAATGTTTGAACGTGCTTATTTCTATACGATAATGCCAAAGGGGAATTCCCGGATTTATCTTTCATGGAAATGTCAAAACCTTCCTTTACAAGTGCTTCGACAACCTGAGTGTATCCGTTTATGGCAGCAACATGCAAAGCTGTCTGTCCTTTGAGATTCTTTACTTGAAGAGCTGGATCTAGCATGCACGAATCAATATTACCAAAATCATCTCGTCCCTCGTTGATATCATCATGTGGCAGTGAAGTGACAGGACGTGGCTGCCTTTTGATTTTTGACGTTAACAAAATAAATGTCACGGCTTCTAGTTTACCGTAAGACGCAGCATAGAATAATGGAGTCCAGCCGCTTACATCCTTCTCATAAAAAGTAGAAGGTCGCCATTCGTATAAGATTTCCAATGTTGAAACATCTCCTTTTAAAGAAGCTACAGCAAACTCCTTTTGACCAAGTGTCGCTTTGTGTTGTAGAAGAAGTCGGACAATTTCTTGAAATCCAAATTTTACAGCTACAAGCAGTGGTGTTTCGCCATTGAACAGTGAGTTCACATCAATTGTTGTACCTAATAATTCTCCACTGAGAAGCTTTGTCAACAGCTGAGTATTATTTATTTCGATTATCAAATGAATTAAAGGCGGTTGATTCATACTATACGTACGAAGAAAGTCTTTCAGTAGTTTTTCAAAACCTGGTGTCAAATTTTCATGACAAAGTTTTAAGGCAGCATACTTTGCTTGTTCTACTGTGGCAATTTGTCTACTTTTTATGATTGTTTGTAGGATTTCTTCGGAGCCATTATCAATTGCTTTTTGCAGTGCCTGTAGAGATATTTCTGCACCAACATCTACAAGACAACGAAAAGTTGTAGTATTTGATAATTCTGATGCATATACTAACGCTATCCTTTCTTGATCAGCGATCCATTCCTTCCATTTCTTGCTTCGTCGTTTCCTCTTCCAGATGTCCGTGCATAAAATTATTTCTGTAATATTAGCCTTTCCTGAATCACTGTTATTTTCATCCAGATGAGTCATACCGTGGTAGAGAGAAGAATATGCCTCCTCTTGGCTTGAATCTGATTGTTTTAAGACCTTCCATGTCATGTGTGGAGTCTCGCCTAAATATCCCAAGAAAATCTTGAAAAATGTAGGACTCATTGCCGGGTGCTTCATACATTTGGCAACATTCTTAAGCATGATCTCTTTTTTAAAGCGGCAGCATACCGATCTTGTTACCTTGTCAAGTTTCTTTTCATCGATCGCAATGTACGTGTCTTGGTCTTGGTCATCATTAATAGCCGTACGCAACTTCACAAAGTTATAGAAGAAATCCTCGTCACAGGTTTCGAGACCTTTGGGGTAAGCTTCATAGAGTACAAGCAGGAATGAATAATATATTCTTCCGTTCGAGAATTTAAAAATATTACCGTCTTTTTCAAGGTATTTCCCAACGAAGCCATGCGCAGCCTTTCGAATAGTGCTACCAATGTTGCACTGATATCCGCTTTCTTTTGCACATTGATGATGGAATTCCATGTCTGATTTATGCTTTTTTTCAAGGGCTTCATATTTCTTTCGAGACAGCTTATTGATTGATATCACCGAACGCCATAGTCTTTCGGCTTCATGAAAGGAATTCTTGTGTGAAACATGACCAATGGTATGTACCACTAAAAGGCTTAGAAACAATAGTTTACTCTTTTTATATAATTGCCGAAATTTTTGCACAAGTTTTGGAACAGGCTTTCTAAAGAAATCCAATTCTTCAGAGAGGTGCCCTTTAATGTAATCAGATATTTCTCCGATACATCCTCTTCTGTCAAGAAAAGGCACAATGCGGTTAACTGTATCGATGTTAATGAAATGTATCTTTCCCTTTTTTGGTCGAGGAGGAGGAATTGGGCCATGTCTTGATGAAATTACTCTAACATTGTTCTGCCTTAATATGGCGTCCACCAGTTTCTCTTTTGTCTCGTCTGATGGTGGAAATTCATCAGCATTTAAAACGTACTCTCTGTATTTAACTAAGATGGGATGTTTCACTCCCGAGCAAGTATTGATAGTTAGTATTAGGGTTATGTTTCCTCGTTCTTTAGCTCCTATGGGCATCTTTTCTAATAGAATTTCATACCAGTCATCTAACTTCTCTCTGTTGTTTCCAGAACATCCATTTGCGTCGATTACAAGTACAGCAACATCTTCACCCCAATTCAAAGTGTTCAACTCTTTTGCTTCCTTAAGGAAGACACTTTTCAGATTAGGTTTAATTGATATCACTTTTTTGAATAGCATCTTTGCAGCAAATCCGCACCCACTTCGTGATCCTTTAAATATAACTAAAGGGAAATGAGTGTCTCTCCGGATGTAACTCAATCCTACTTTGTATAATTCTGTTTCTACTTTTGGGTGCGTCGAATCAAACATCTTCAACATGTTTAATGTACGATCTAAAATGACAGTTTAGATCTAAGCTCAATGGAATCAGTTTGTATGGGATGAATATACAAAAACTATATTTGAATTGCTAGGTCAATTCATCAAGTTATGCATTAAATAATTGATTACATTATAAAAAATATTACAACAAGTTTGTTGCGGAGGTTTTTAAATATTCAATGAACGTTTGACCATGAAGCTAGTAATCTTTTTTTATCTACCTCTTTACAAATGGGTAGTACTTAGATATATGTTAAAAATTCCAGCATATATTTCAAAAGGAAATAATGTCAAAAGTCAAACCATTCAGATATCGGCGTTTTTCTTTGTTTCCTGTAAAGACAAGGTAAGGAATCTTTAGCCTTAAAACATTCAATGTGTTTGTATAATATGGAAATATGTGTTTTGAATATAATATTGCATAATATGTCAATTGTTCAACTAATTAATTCCTTCTTGGAAATTGTATATTTGAAAATATATATTAATTGTATATTTAAATTATACATTATGCTAAATTTTCATATTTTAAGATACTAAAAATATATATACTGTCTCTTAATAAAATACACATCTTTTAAAAACACACAGAGAAGATATATTAAATTTTAAACTCTTCATTCTATTAGCATTTACATGTATCAGTGTATGTTCAACAAATGTTCAACTAATTAATTCTTACTCTGTATTTGTACATTTTAATATAATTATTATATATGCAATATGTCCTTGCAGTGAGTACTGTGTTAGTTGCTTAATACACTTACCGTTTGAAATGTTATTTGTTGTTTTCTTAATCCTGGCCGTACCTTCATCTGAAAGATCACAAAAACGTTTTTTTTTAAGTTGTTTTTTTTTTCATGTATTTTTTAAACGTAAACGAAAGAAACGGATGTCTTTCGATGGCCCTATCCAACAAGTAAATTGCTTTTACTATTTATGTACGGTTTCCGTGACGACATTTCTCTATGAACAAGTTTGAAAATTACAGGTTTGAAGAAATTTTTTAAAAATCCCTAAAAAGAACTCTCATTGTCGATCATGGACATTCATATTATTACTAGTTTGATTCCCAGTCGCTTTCCTATAAAAACTTGCATTTTACGTAAGTGAAAATTTTCATTAAGTAAATCCAATTGGATAACAGTTTAAGTCAATATGTTTGTTAGATAATTCACAATTATCCATTTATTCATAACAAAATATACAGCACAACTTACAAAAATCACTATTACAGAACAAATAAGAATAGTCTTACTTGGTGAAACAATAAACTCCCTCGAATGATTAACATTGATGATACTTAAAACCTTTGGTTTGAAACTGTCTTCTTCGCCTTTCAATACTTCTTTTGAGTGTAGATCTGGTACTATATAAAAAGGCAAACAAAGTATGCACTGATTAGGTCAGCCAGGTGGAATACGTTTTATTAACAAGCAAACTGTTCAGTTCCTTAGAGAGTAAGTCCATTTCGCGGAATGACAACAATATCGAAAATAGGACTTGTCGACCATTAAAATCTAAATTTCATCTAGGTTTTCTTTATCAGTACTTCTAAAATACTAAAATTTATTACTTTGCAGCATTGAAGAAATATTATCGATAAGGAATTCAAGTTTGTTTCTTTAAATTATATGTTAACAAAGTTTTAATGACACGGGAAAAATAAGTTGTGCATTTCAAATAATACATAATATATAGCATACCACTGTGAAAATATCTCGACGAAGCTAAACTTCGTTTTTCCCCATTATCAGATAGTAAGTTTTCTTTTGACGTATGATATTCGCTTTCATAATCACTGGTTTCATCACATTCGGGCGTGTAGCTTAACTGACTTTGTATTTTCGGCCGCGTCGCTGGTTCAACATTTATCAATGCATCTCTGGCTGATCTGTTAACGGTAACATCAGATTGTGTAACACCTGGGCAATCATCACGCTGAATGTTATGATGTTTGCTGTCACTTAATGGCACAGACTCGTCTATATCCTCATCAGAATCCCAAACTTGATCGTGTGTTATTTCTTTAAACCTTACTTTAATACTTTTCACATAGCTTTGACTTGTTTTCATTGTTGAACTTGTCTGGTTATTTTTTGCTTTACGTCTGCCGTCCATGTTTTGTTATCTTAAGAAGAAGAAGAATATGATTTGTATAATGATACTATACCCGTCGTTACGCGGTCAAGTTATTTGAATTAGCTATATATTTAAAAAAAGACTATAATAATGGTGATGACGACGCATGATAAAGATAAAAACTGCCTAAAAATAAACTTCCCCACCCAAATCATTTAGGCATAAACGCTTAATTACAAAGGATATGTATATAATTTATGATGGGTCACGTGAGTTATAAACTATTTTTGTGAATCTGCGTAAGATATTGAAGACAATTGTGGCAAATTCTAGAGCTATTTTATGTTGGATGGCCATACTGTCACTTTAAGAGCCAAACGCGATGCCTTATTTAAATAAATTCATAATATTTTTCATTAATACATAAGATGAAATATTGACCTTTAATTCTGAGCAGGTAAATTTATAAATGACAAATAAAAAAACTAAGTACGAAATAAGCTGAAACAAAAATATCGAATTAAATCACAGTATGAAAATAATTGTCCTGTTCGCATTAATTGCACAACAGGGCCTACGTTGTCACAAATTTTCAAAGTGTATGATAGGGTGGGCTCCGTTTTCATAAGAAAGGTTCAAGTTAAAATATACCCGCTACATACACTGATACTTGTAACTGCAATACATACAACACATTGTGGAATTTAAACCTTAATTATAATACATTAATGTTATAACGCTAGACCGTTATCAGTTATGATTTTATACAAATTAATAGAACAGAATTGACAAAGGAATGACGGAATCGTACTAGTAATGACTAAACCGCACATATTGTTTGGCAATAATGACATGAGAATAATTAATATTAGGAAGCTTTTTCGTTGGTTTCCGTAATTTATTACGATTTACTAATTGATTTTAATGATAGGAAAGTTTTTGATACTTTATTTTATACTAACGTCCCGTTCCGTCTTAGGAAATTATGAAAGCAAAGCAATCGCGAAGTTGCAAGTTCGAATCCTCAACACACCATTAATTTTCAGATTTTTTTATTTCTTTTATAATTATATGCAGCATTAGTTGATGAATCATTTCTTTAATTTCTTGTGTCTTTTCTTAACAAAGAAACAACATAACTTTGATGTATGGATGTATATGTAAATAGTTTCATAATTTCAATATATACATCCGTACAATGGGTGGTTGGCATGCATAAAATTTTAGTAATCAAGGTTTGCAAAAAATTATAAAAAACATAAAAAATGTTTTATTAAGATTCGAACCTACAAGCTACAATTGAAACTAAAACTCTTAATTTCTTATTAGTGAGACTAGTAAGGCAAGTTTTGTGTCATTAGCTTTACCATGTATAACGTTATGCATTAATTTAAATTCCGTGTGATTAAAAACTTCGGAATCCGACAATTACCGACAAAAGGTCATTGAATATTCAAATGTCTCAGATCAATGTTGCCAAACAATAATAGTTTTCATTAATACATAAGATGAAATGTTGACTTTTAATTCTGAGCAAAAAAAAAGAAATAATGTCGGTTCAAGTGAGACATGTACGAGATACATTGTCTACGACAGTACTTGAACAATCGTCGTATTTTTACAAAGCAAATAAAGTCATACACGTATCATATTTTGCTAACGCTATTGTGTTCATAAGGAAAAATAAAGCAAGTCAGTAAGTTATTTATAGGTCCACGTAGCCTTGCCGAAAACTTATTTCAAATTACGTGTTATGCAAAACGATATTATCTATTTGTAAGCAATTGTTTGTTTCTACATTTTTTTTGTAACTGTATACGGATTATAATGTCATCAGATGGGTTCCCCCACGCATGTGTGAATATATAAAGTGTCCGTATTTGACTGTCTTATGGCCTCTTTATATGTTGAAGGCAAAAAAGAAAGAAAAAAGAAAATTTTAAAAAAACAATTTTAAAAATTATTTTTGGCCCCAAAATTTTCTACCCCGTTCAATTAAAAAGGGCGAATTATTTTGTATTCTTAACGATTCCGGTTTGTCAAGCTTTCATCTTAAAAAAGTCTTTTTTTTAAGGGGCTGAATTTTTTTATTTTAAAAAAGTGGGTAAAATTTAAAAGGTTCATTTTCTATAATTTCAAAAATTTCTTTTCCCTCAGTCAAATTTCATGCGTTTTTTTTAGGGTAATTCATCGAAATTAAACCCTCTTTTTTTAAAAAAAGCTTAAAATCGTATTAAATTAGGGGGGGAAATTTTTTTTTAAAAGATAATATTTTTTGCAAATGTTATCAAAACAGGGTGGGCATTTTTAAATTTTCAATTTGGCCCCAAATTACAAAATGGGGTTTGAATGGCAAAAAAAAGTGTATACAATGAAACAGATACTGTTTTTATCCTAGAAATCGAATTACCAAACTTTTTATTACATATAAGTAGATCCTATGGTTGCTATTTTTTGCCAACAGTTAACCATATAATTATCGCGTTAGCTATCTGTCTATCAAACTGTATTAGAACGAACTCTGTTGAACATAACATGTGTTCAGGCGGACAAAGTTAGCCCTATACAGACGTCATTTTATACATGAATCCTCTGTGATGCATAATGCCATCTCGTGGTACATTGACTGGTATAGTAAACAGACTGTAAATATATACTCCCCTAAAATTATAATGTCCACTCTTAGATATTGGACGTGTAGCATTATCTTGTGGTCCACTACACAAGTTATATAAATAATGCCCCAAAAGTCAAGATTGATCCTGTCGTGATTACTTCATTCATTCATTCATTCATTCGTTTGGGTGACTTCCGAGCTTTCTCAGGGGCATTATTTCAGGCACACGCGGTGTAGAACCACCAACGTTTTGTAAGCTAGCTGAAACTTCCTCACATTAGAATATCCAAAGACCCTGGCGGGATTCCACCAATTGCGAGGTGCTAGTGACTGGCATTGACCTGCAGATCACTTACTTTACAAAGATATACATAGGAAAACCAATTACAATCTTTCAGTATGTGTTTGGCTGCTACAAAACAAAAGCCTGTAACAAGTCTCCTCGTACATTTAATTAATGTTGTTATTTTTTCGATCCTTGAAGATCGTTCAGCACGACGTAATTGTTGCGTATACATGGTATGTGGTACTTTTAGTTTCTTCTTTTTGGCCCTTTTCAACTTGGGAGGTTCCAGTCTTCCTACTTGAATACTGTATAATCACCCTTAGGATATCTTGCCTGCTTTTTAAATTTATCTTTTGACGTTTTGTCTGTGATATGCAGGCTGTTATATTTTCGATCCTTGCAGATCGTTCAGCACGACATTATTGTTGTGCTTGTGGTATTTTAAGTTTCAACTTTTCGGCATTTTCTAGTTGGGTGGTTCCAATATTCCTACTTGAATAATGTTGAATCACCCTTAGGATATGTTGCCTGCTTTTTAAATTTGTCTTTTGACGTCTTATCTGTGATACGCAGGCTTCATAACCTCTGATCCCCTTTCAAAATTCCATTTTATTTAGTTCCGCCCATTGTTTTCTCGTTTAGGGCACACGCTTTTTATTACTTGGGGACCATACGCCGCTTTTCATGGAATGGCACGGAAGTGTCACATTGAAGGTTCCATGATAACTGCCGTATGAACACATCTGCGGATGTTTCTAAATTCAAAATTTTACTATTTCACGTTTAAATGTTGAATTCTGCTTAAGCCGGTGCTAGGGGGCGTGGACGGTAGTTTGCACTTTACAGTACCGTCCATGAACAGGCTCAATCAAACCGAGCCTGCAACATTTTCAATTTTGCCGTGTTGGGCTTTCTTTAGGGATTCTGTATCTATCTATTTCATAACCTCAGATCCCCTTTCAATTTTTTTATCTAGTTCCGCCCATTGTTTTCTCGTTTAGGGTACACGCTTTCTTTTACAACGGGACCATATGCCGCATTTCCTGGAATGGCACTACTGTATCATATTGATGGTTCCATGATAACCGCCGTGTTAATACATCTGCGGATGTTTCAAAATTCGGTCATTTTCGTGTTAAATGTTGTGTTCTGCTTTAGCCGGTGCTAGGGGCGTGGCCAGTAACTTGCACTTTCCAGTAACATAAACAGGCTCAATCAAACCGACCCTGCAACATTTTCAATTTAGTCGTGTTGGACTTTCTTTAGGGATTCTGTTTTTCTCTATTTTTTAGATATTTCGCCTGCAGTATTGATTTCAAGGAAAGTACCAAAAGCTGTCAAATCTGCGGATGCTTCTAAATTCAAAACTTTACCATTTCATGTTTAAATGTTAAATTCTGCTTAGCCAGTGATAGGGGCGTGGACGGTAGTTTGCACTTGACAGTTCATGAACAAGCTCAATCAAACCGTGCCTGCAACATTTTCAATTTTGCCTTTGTGGCCTTTCTTGAGGGATTCACTTTTTCTCTATTTTAACTCTGATGTATCTCCCTTATATCATGTGGCACTTGTGGTGTCTATTTTCTTTATATCGTGTGGCACGTGTGGTGTGATGTCATTGTTATACTGTTTTAATTAAACATTGACTTTTTATGTGTTTACAATATCAAATTCATGTTTTATATATGTAAACATCTGCATCTAAAACAACTGTTAGAATCTATCTAACTTCATAGATAGATAGATCATATTGATGAAGAGTGCAGTGCACAAGAATGAAGTCTACCCTGCATAATTTTTCAGCTATTGCCCTTTGTTATTTTTGAACTTAATTTTTGTCAAGAGCATAATTCAAAAAGCCTTTGAGATATCAACATGAAATTTCATAGGTGGATATATCTCACTCAGGAGATGTGCAGGACATAACTCTACTTTTCATAATTTTTTAGTTATTTCCCTTTGTTATTTTTCATACTTATTTTCACCTGAGTGGAGCATAACTCAAAAACACAAAAAACTCTTTGAGATGTCAACATGAAACTTCATAGGTGGATTTATCTTATTAAGGAGGAATGCTGTGCGCAAGAATGATAACTCTACCCTTAACAATTTTTTAGTTATTGCTCTTTGTTATTTTTCATACTTTTTGTCCGAGGTATCTCAAAAAGTGTTAGAAGTATCAACTTAAAACTTCATAGGTGGATAGATCTCATTGAGGAGGAGTGCAGCACACAAGAATGATAACCTACCCTGCATTATTGTTCAGTCATTGTCCTTTGTTATTTTCAGCCATCAGTATTCACATAGGTTTCAAATCTGTAATCACTTCAGCCATCAGTTTTCATTACAAAAAGACCTCTTAAAATTGAATTATTCTGCTCTACTAAATATACATTCTTCCAATGAGCAAAAAAAACAAGAATAAAGATCAACAAGGCAAAGGCAACGTTCACAAGACGCCCCCCCCCCGAACATACTCAAGTAGGCACTCAGAAGACATCAAACACACTGAGCAAACACACTCGGCGGGGATGGCCATGTAAACATTGCTCTTGTTGTCATTATAATTATTATTATCATTATTATTCTAAATATTATCATAATTGCTTTTTTTTTTTTTTTTTTTTTTTCATATTTATCTATTTATTTGTTTATTATTATCATTATTGTTATATTATTATTATATTATTATTTATTAGTTTTATTATTAGCTATCTATTTATTTTGTTTTCATTTTTTGCTCTTTTGTGTTCCCCGTTGGTTTTAGGCTTGATGGTATGCTGGATTTAGGGAATATATTATAATGAAATTATATTCTATTATTCAAAATGAAGAAAACTACTTACGTCTTCCTCCGTGCTTTCAAATCAGTCCAGACAATTTAGATCTATTCAATTCAGCCGACAAAGATTTAAAGCAGCATTACAATGTTTAAATCTTCAGTAACTAATCATGTGCTTGTTGACAGTCTTAGCTCATTATGAGATAAGCAATATTTTTGTCTAAAATTACGGAAACGTTAAAGAGCCTCCAATAAGTTAGATAATGATGTTGTAAGTTGACTGATTTTAATTTGATTTAATTAGACGCTTTAACACAAAATCAATTAATCTTATTCACAAAATTAAAAAAAAAGGTTTATTTTGTTGACCTTTATCTCGATATACTTGAAGTTTTGCCAAGGCGAAAATATATATTTTCGTCTTTTGTAAAACATTTGTCTGACAAAAAAAATCGCCTAGACACAAAATTTGACTAAAAAGAACAAAAAACAAGAAAAGAGACTAAGAATGTCTTTATGAATAAAATGAATTGGTTACTGTTAAAACATCTAATGAAATCGAACAAAAATTAGTCGTCTTACACCTCATAGTGCCCTTTAACGTTTCCGTAGCAATTTTTCTAAAAATACGAATTAGGAAAGAATATCCAAGTCATATTAATATTTGGTGTAATTTATTTTTAGATAAATCACGCGAATATTGAAACTTTATCCGACTTACGTGATAAAATATATATGAAAGAAAACCGCTTCATCACACCGAAGATTGACAACTAAAATATGACATAACATAACCTACACAGAATACCCGATGATTAGGACTTATAAATGATAAACTACTTTAGTAAACGAGAGATAGACTAACGAATAAATATTTCATGAATTATTGCGAAATGTCTAGCTGTTCGTTACCCTATATAAACAGTTGTTTGTACATGTATATAATTATTTCCCTATACGCTAGATGTCAGGGTTGTATTGTAAATAACCGTTTATATATGGCCATATAACCTGTCAAGAATCTTTTTAACGAATATATATATATATATATATAGTACTGCAAACTTCCTTTTCTGGGAAAAAGGAGAACATTTAATTCATAAATCGAACCAGTCCATATAAACGTCACAATTATCCTATATAAAAGCGTTCCTAACATGCAGTATAATAATGCACACGAGACAAATACTACTATATGTTATTTTGGTTATATATTTTGGTGATATATGTCACAGTGGATATTTTACCTGCCAATATTTTATATTACCCAAGCCGATATTTTATCTTGACAGGTAATATATACGGAATATTATGTTGTAGTAGCTTTCTGAGGCTTTGTATTTTTCTACGAGCAGCGGTGGAAAATTGATATCTCGCGAGACCAAAGGTCGAGCGAGATATCAATTTTCCAACGTTGCGAGTAGAAAAATACATAGTATCAGAAAGCTACTATAACATAATTTTCCTTTTATTATATTCCTTTTCGTTTTATTCAGAAAATGAAATGTAGTTGTCAAGAAATAAATTCATGACTGACGGATGAATACGTAATTCTTGCAAACCGGCCACGCCTTTAATAATTTTGGTTCCCGTTTTCAAATGCAACGTTATACAAAGCTAAGATCGGAACCAACGTCAAAAATAGTCCGGCACTTCCATATATGGTACCGTATTTGTCACTAACATAATACGGAAATTTCTATCCGTTGAAGCGTATTTGCGCTTCAATATTTGCGTGTATTTTAGGGAGAAAATTTATAGGTATATAATAAATCCACATATAACACTCCAAAACAAAATAATAATTTTATTACCCTTCCCCATTTTAAAATAAATATTGTTTTCTTTCAAATGGAACGTCGAAATAAGATTCGCTTAATAAAACCCCTCCACCACATCATGACGTCACATAAATACATGAAGTATTTGCTTTCGAACCTAACAAATGTAAGTAGTATGTTAAAGAAACGTTTTTGTAATTAATATCATGCTGTGAAAAGGTCATATTTGTTTTCAATACTGATGAGAATATTTATCATTACTTTATTTTGATAAATATTTTTTATTTGACAGTTATTGTTTTTTATAAAAAATGCTTGCTTAACGGAATTTACACCGCGTAAATCGAATCGTACGTACATCGCTACAGCGCAACGTGAGGTACACAACGGGAAAATTTAGCGTGTATATTATAGCGGTTACCGATAAGTTAAGTATAGGATAAATCATGAGTACCAGTTGGATGTGAGATTTATCAACGAGCGAAGCGAGTTGATAAATCTCACATGGTCTCAACCCGGTACGGAATTAGACCCCATGCCCCTTATAATTTTCTTAAGCATGTACTAGTGTTGCATATTTTTTCAGACCATGCAGTTACCAAAGCCTGGGTTTGAGTATAGGAACATGGTGGGGCTAAGAGCGAGGTTTGGTGCACCATTAACCGGTTTAAACTCCCCAGCAGTCATTATTATGCTGCTGACCGTTCCAAGGCGGCGCCCCACTGTGTTCCTCAGATGTATGTCTATGTTGTTTCATACTGTTTTGGTGACACTTTTGCTTGTGTCCCTTGTTGTTTTCTCGTCTACGGTAAGTATCTTCCCCATTGCCTCTAGTTTTTATTACTTTGATTACCCCCCCCCCCCTTCCCCCGGTCTCCTGTCCCCTTCCCCTTTGTGGGCCTATTATTATTTTCTTTGAATTCCTACTCAGTTACAAATTATTTATCATTTATTGATTAACGTGTCGTTGCCCTGTCCTTTTTATGTTTGGGGTCCGCCTGGGCTCCTTGCCATTGGTTCTTGTTGCTGGGTCATATGGGGGTTGCGTTCATTGAACGCCGCCTTTCCTTGTTGATCTTGTTTTTCATATTTTACCTTATCCTGGTAAAGATCTATAGAAGGACTCCTTCAGCTCTGTTTGGCAGCAGCTTTGTCAGGACACATTGAGAAGGTAATAACTTATGTCTAGTTTGAAACTTCAGCTATTGGCGGTAGCGCCTCCCAATGCTCGGGTAATATTTGGTAGTTATTTTGATGTATTTCAGGAGAAAATTTCTCTAATTCTGACTATATTAAGACTTCTCAATGATTTAAAGTGGGGGACAGTATGTGTCATCTTTTTAAAGCCTTATTTGTGTGAGAGTTGGCTAATCTTACTTTGTCAGAAGACATAGCCCATGGTGATATGGTAACCTCTTTGCTAACCTTAAGATTACCTCTGTTTGTCTTTATTGATATCTTAAGCAAACAATGTAGGGTGTGTATGTTGGTTCTTAACTTTATTTACCATGGTATATAGGTGAAAATCCATAATCAGTAAGTTTTATTACAATATTGAAGGAAAAAAATTTGAAAAAAAGCACATTTAATTGTGATTACTTGTATTTTAACCCAAAATTTCATGCTCTCATTTAAAGAAATTGAGTTTCTATTACAATTTTTAAGCAATAAGGTCTTATTCTTTCATAGAAGTAACTATATGACATTAGCCGGTAACATTAAACTTTATTCAAAGAAAATCCATTTACAGAATCAAAAGATATGACAGAATTTGTAATATAAAATTTTGCGTAAAATTCTATTGGCCGAGCCTGACTTTTCGCATGAAGGTTCATATTTAAGAAATTGTACCGCATTAATGTAATTTGTTAGAGACATGTCAAACCTATATGACTGTATTTGTATAACACTAAATTACTAGGAAATGAGTATAAAGTTTGGCTTAACTTAAATTTTGGATTCATTTAGGTCTCAACCCGGTACGGAATTAGACCCAGCCCATTGTAGTCTAGAAAGTAGTTCTTTAAAATTATGAAATGGCCCAATTTAAGTCATCTCTAGTTAGATTGTTCATAATTAAAGTGTATTTATTGGCATGTGTGTAGTTTTGTGTGTTATATGATGACTTTAAAAGTTGTATTTTGTGTATTCTCCAGGAACTCATTTGTTGGTGGAAGGATTAAAGATGTACTACCCACCAGCTGTCAGGAGTTTTTAAAGTGGTGAATTTAAACAGTGTTACAACAGAATGAAGATTTCTGAAAAAAGTAGATGGCTAACCTATTATATTTTGGGCATCATTTGACTTAGATAGTGTTAATGCTTAAAGTTGAAGACAGTATAAAATTCATCAAGAACATTGGAATCCAGAATTAAACCTCAAATTTGACTGATTTACTATATAACTAATAGTACGAAAATTCACCGGGCCGAGTCCATGATAAGAAATGTCAAAAATGGGAACTGGTTGATGGATATGGATGAAACTTTGCATCAGTGTTGTGTTTATGAATAGAAGTCAGGAAAATAAAGGATTACTGACAGGTTTGAAAATTTTAAATTTTATTTCAAATTTTAAAATTTGACATTTTAAATTGGGACATATGTTGTTGTTGTTATCTCCCCTTCAAATGTAGATGTCTGCTACTGTGTCAGTAAGCAGGGAGAAAGGTACAGAGCTTTTGCATGAAAGATTAACCACATTTTATTGAATTAAAACTGTAAAAATAAATTTAGAATTAAAAAATGAAATTTAAATTTTGTAAAAAGCAGTTTATAAATTGATAAATTTTATTTTTGCACCCTGTGTTAAGCAATATGCTATAAAACTAGCTTACTTTTATAAGATTTATATAGAAAATGATAATTTTTAGAGAAATGCATCTTAAATTATGGATAAATTATGCATTGAAGGAATTGGGGAGTGTGTGGTTTCAGATTGGTTACATTGGTAAAAAAAGTGATTGGCAAGCTCATTCCAGAGCTCTCTAAGGGGCCCAAGATTCACCGGCCATGGGATTCGAACACAAGCACCATAGTAGCCTATTGCTCATATGGACCACACATTATATGTTTTGATGTTTCAGCAAAGGATTGATGCTGTAGTAATCAGTATGTAAATATTCACTATTGTCCTGTATTTAAATGAAGAAGAACTAACAATTGAACAGGACAAATGTGATTTATATTTTGGAAATATAGGCATTTTCAGTGTAGTGAAACTTGATGTTTTGCTGTGTTGCAGAATGTATTTGCTAGTAATATATACACATAAAAGATTTTCTAGTCATTAAACAGTGTATTTTATGGATAATTGGCTCATTTAGAATAACACAGTTGATATAATTGTTGTTGTTGTTGTTGTTGTAGCTGCTACAGCAGTTAAATTAGGTTAGGTTTATAATGTCTTAACTGCTATTTTCATGCAGGCATGCATTTTTCAGAACACAATATTT